CGCGTCGTGCCGTTGTGTCTCGTGGCACCGCGGCGCCCTGGCCCGCCCTGGCCCGCCCTGGCCCCGCCCTCCAGTGCCCCGTCCAGGCTTGGCTCCAGGCTTGGCTCCAGAGCCTGGGTGTGCAGTAAGGCACCTCCTGGGGGCAGCACAGTGCACACGCCGTTCGGCGGCGTGGTGTGAGACGAGGCAGTCCCGGGCGTCCGCGAGCACGTCCGCGAGGGCATCCCCCACGACGCCTCTGCGCGCAGCCTTGGCGCAGCCGCTGCAGACTCCGTCCTGCGTCCGCCCTGCTGCAGAAGCGGTGTCACTTTCACTCGTGCGGCGCGGTCTGGCAGTGCGTCAGTCAGTCCTGCGAGCGGCAGCAATTCAAACTGGATAGTTAAAGGGAAAAACGAGGTGCGCTTTCCAAGCAAGAAAGAATACGTCGTCGGCTACCTTTTTTTTCTCTCCCTCGAGGAAGGCATGCCGGGCCGTGCGTGTTATTTAGTGTTGCTGTGTCGCTAAGCGCCGGTGAGGAATCGCGAATCGCAATCAAGTCTTCTTCTCTTGTTTCTCATCACCCACACATCGGAGAGAGATGGCTTTCAGTGTGTGACCAAAGGGCCTCCCGGTTAACGCCTCCGGTCAGTGGAACACGACGCGGCCGCGGCCAGGCCAGGCCTCGTTGACAGAGGTGCCTGCGTGTCGGGGGATACACGGTCGGTACATGGAATCCACGCAGGCCGCGCCCCACCCCGCCCCGCCCCGCGGGTTCACGTCCTCCACGGGTCCATGGGACAGCGGGGCTCCTCCTGGGCCCCTGCGGGCCTGCCGGGCCTGAACGTCGTCGCTCTGTCTCTCTCCCGCCCCCGTGGAGCTCACCCCGAGTGCGAGAGAGACAGAGCGACGGGCGCGGCGTTCGGCTTGCCCACTGGTCCGGACGGGCGGTCAAACCGGAATGGAGCTGAGCCACGTCGACGTGTTCGAGACTCCGCGGCTGCGCCGCGCGGTCCGGCCGTCGAATACTTCCGAAATTCGGCGCCGCGTGTCAGCACGGCATTAGCTGGGCTCGTTTCGCGGAGCGCTCTAGAACGGCGTTTGTCACTTCCATTCGCCTTGATCGCCGCGAAGATGGCTGTTCCACAGACAATGCCGCATAACCTAGAGTAACGACTGCCAGGCGGCCAGCACCGCCACCCTGGGAATGGCAGGGCGCGCGTAAGACGCAGCGACGTTCGGCCGTCCGCGCGCACGCATGCGTGTAGTGCGTTACTGCGAATGTGTGTCACTGTAAAATCATGCGCGGCCGTCGTGGGCAACAGGCAGCAACAGGCAAACAGCGGCCGCCGTGGGACGCGGAAACCCTGCCACATTTTCCGTCCCGTTTCTGCGAGGCGGCTCCACTCTACAGTGTACCGCGCGGGCCGCCACCGCCGCGCCGCGTTCGCGCAGCGCGCAGTTTCTCGTTTTCGTCAAATTGGACGGGGTCTTCTTATTATCCCGGCCGAACAAAAAGAAGCCAGATCGAACGGCGGGCAGCGGGCCGCGCGAGATAAGGGGACCAGTGGGCCGCGCTGGACCGGGCCGCGCTGGCGGCACGGAGAGGCTGCAACGAAAAGCAGCCACTTTGGGAGCACGCCGCGCGGCCGCGCCGGCCCTCGTTCGATTTTGTTTCCACTTTGCTAGTCTCCTCCACCACCGCCTCCTCCGGTCGACTCCGGGCCAGTGGCCGCGCGGCCGGAGCCCTGCCGCCGGAGCCGAGGTAGTCAAGGGTATTCCAGGGTATTCCGGACATTGGGATTATCCCGGCTTCACTTTCTCCCACTGCACCTCCAAATTACGTACCCAGGCGAGCGCGGAGGGTTCGGCTTATCGACTTGTGCAATCGATATGGCCCGATTTGCATGGGCTGCGCCGTGCCAGCACGGCAGCACAGCAGCAGTCACCGCCACAAATTATTTTTTTCCAACTCACTGCCCAATGGCCCTACGTAGAGCCCTGCGTCAAGGGCCCATAAGGGTTGGGCCGACGACAGCGCAGTTTTTTTTTTTTTTCCTCGTGACGCGTGCTTTACCAGCACTTCGAGTGCCACCAAGCCAGTTCCGAAAGACGATCGGTCTCTCTCGCACCCTTACGGGACGCAGCCATGAGTGCGAGGGAGACAGAGCACCGTTCGGTATGGGGCCGTAGGCGCAGGTTGCACATGCAGTGATAGCGCAACGAGGTGGTAAACGCCGTGCTTCGCCGCTTCGCCGCTTCGCCGCTTCGCGGTTAGGTGTCCAGCTCATCTTCGTGTCGCAACGCGGCAGCGCGGGTCGTGACCCCGCCTCCACCCTGCCGCTCCCTGCCCTCAAACACGCTCCAAAAACAACAGCCATCCCGCGACTTTTATTTAAACGCTCCGAGGCGGCGGTGCTGCTGGCCAGGGCGCGGCCAAGGCGGCTCCTAGGCGTGCACATGGAGTGCCTAATAGCGGCCGATTTGTACTCCGGACGTGTTGTCGGCCGGCAGGGGCAGGGCGGGGCGGGGCGGGGCGGCGGCCATTCCTCCTCGGGACCTGGTGCGAGGCGAGGCGTGAGAGCGTTATTTTCCCGAATGTTTGGGCCGGCCGCAAACGGCAGCGCCACGGGTGTGCGTGTGTGAGTCTGTGTCGTGTCCGTGTGTGTCCCGTGCGCGTGTGCGCCATGTGCGATCAGGCAGGCTATCCGGGCCGCGGTGCCGCGGCACGGGGGAAAGGAAAATGGAGGATCGGGTATGCGGGATCCGGTTCAGCTTCGCAGCGCTCCGCAGCTCCGCCTGCCCTAGCTCGCCTCTCTTTGGCAGGCCCGCGCGCGCCGTAGCGCCTCTCGGAGACCTCTCTAATGGTTGGAGAGCCCGCCGAAGAGAGGCAGCGCGACGTCGCGGAAACCATGCCGCCGCGCCGCGCAGCAGTGCGCAGCAGCAGACTGATTCCGAACAGTCCTTTCGCCGCTTGTGTGTGAGAGAGACAGGCACTGAGGCACGGTTCGAGATGAGCCTGCTGCTGAGATGGCCCACATCCTCCACCCCGAGCCACCCCGACCGGGATCACGGCGAACGCCGCCAACCTGAGTACTGTGTTTAGGCGGCAGGCCACGCTACGCCAGGCAACGCCGGGCACGGCGAAATCGTGTCATGAGAGTGAGTGTGCCTCTCTCTCTCTCTCTCCTCTCTCTCTGCCTGCGCCGAGCCTCGAGCCGGCAAGCCGATGATGGATGTTGCACGGTGTGTGTGGTGAACCGACCACCACGTAAGTACGCGACCCGACCCGGCCGACAGGCCGGCAGGCATCCCGCAGGTTCCAAACAGGTGCTCGGCAGGTCTCGGCAGGTCCCCGATGGTCCCCGAGGACGACGTCGCCGCTGACGACGCCTGGCCAAAGCCCTGGCGCGGCACACGCAGAGAAGCAGATGATGCAGACGCGCCCTCGGCCCGTCCGTGATGAGCAACCACCCCGGCACCGCGATCCCGAATCGATAAACGGAATCTGCTGCCTTCGGCTCCTTCGGCCAGCTTCGGCCCCGCCGACTTCCTATTTCTCAACCCGGCGCCACAATGTGGTTGGCAGAGGCAGAGGCGTGCGGAGATGCGCCCGCAGATATGCAAGGCCCTCTAAACTCCAGCTCCAGCCATTGGCCCGGTGGGGCCCACACACACACACTCACAGACACGCTCGCACTGCCTCGTAATCCTCTCGGTTCCAGTCAGAGAAAGGTTCGCGTTGCGCGCATCTTCCAATCCGGCCGTGCCATCGCCATCGGGGTTGGGGTTTCCACATCTGCCGGCAGGTGGCGCCACGACGCCCGGGCGGGCCGGGCCGCCGATTCCCGTTCAAAGAGGGTAATCCCTGGCTCTCTGACGCAACCCTCGGCCCTCGCTGCTGGTGCTGGTGCGGCGCGGGTCGTGATGGTATCGGATCGGCCCGGGCGCCAGGGGGGCCGAACCCCTGGCGTCTGATTCAAAAGGATCATCTCGTCTCTGTCGCGTCCCTGCGCAAGGACAGGGACAGGGAGATGCTTCGGAATGGCTCGGCTGGCGTGCACTGGCGTGGTGGGCCGACGACGGCCGCTGGCCGGGCCGGGGGACTGCTTCACCTTGGCGGTGCGTACCTTGGCCGTGCCGCCGTGCCTCGGCAGTGGCGTCGCAGCCGGAACGATATCAAGCCAAGCCGAGCGTGGAAAGTGGCCGCCTGCGCGTGCAGGGCCAGTGGGCAGCCAGGCAGGCAGGCAGGCAGCCAGCCAGCATGGGTGGCCGGCCAGGCAGCCAGTCACCCGGCTGCGGTCTGCTGTTCCGCTGGTGTTCTGTTCCTGCCCGGCCGTGTCCGCGTCCGTGTCCGCCCGCAGCAGGACCATCGTCGTCGTTGGCTGTGAAAACGAACGCAGAAATTCGAACGGCAGCAGCCTGGGCTTGTCGTCGTCGTCAGGACGCGGGGAGCGTTTTCCATTTCCACACGGCCTCCCGATTCCCTCTAGGCCCCTTTCTCCTCCCCCCCCCCTTTCCCCCGCCGGCGGCTCGCGACCCGTCTGGTGGCATTCCGGGACGGTGCCCCTTCTGCCCCGCCCCGCCCCGCCACGCCCTGCGCATCGCCGCGGCGCCGAGGCCCGGCTAGGCCCGACCCATCCCGCTGCTTCTCGCCGCAGTCGCGCAGTCGCCACTCCCACGAGGGAGGAGACCGAGAAGCGCGAAGCACCGTGGGGCGGCAAGCACATTCCGAATACAGTCGCGCAGTCTCTGTCGCGCTCACGGGGCGCGCCGTAGGCAGCCGTAGGGGTGCGGCAGAGACGAGGCGACTCCTCTTCCGAATGGCGGCGGCTCGCCCAGGCTCGCCCCGCACCCGGCGTGTGCTTGGAAGGTACTCATTGGGCGCGCCGGCGTGGAACTGACCTAGAGTACGGCAGCAGGGACTACCTCCCCTGCTGCCCTTGGCCTTGAAAAAAAAATCCCTCCCTGCAGAGGTTTATTTTTTCAGGGGCACCGAAAACAAAACAAAAAAGACTCTCCGATAACTTTGTATACGTGGTTTATTTGACTGTACATGTTAACATTTTTTCGGTACAATTATAATTATTAAACGTCTTTATTTCTCTTATTAAGTCACTATACAACAACAATCTTGGCACGTTTGAGCAAACAAATAATCTCTTATTGACACAATAAAATTCGTTCTTTTTTATTTACATTATTTCAACACAGTCATGCGATAAACCAATATACAGAATAGAACAATAAATATACACAGATATCTTACATCGTTTAACCATTACAGGACATCTAATTTCTTCTCCTTTGATACCAATAAATAACAAAAGTATGGCATTCAAGCATCGCGTTGTATTAATATTCGATTTTATCCAAGCAAGTGTGCTTGAGAACCGAGAGTAAAAACTACCTAATAAGATAATACACTTTCACAAACGACATCACGCCGCCAAAATATACCTTAACATAAAGAGGCTTCAAATTGTGCTGGATTTCTCACAGAGACTAATGATTACGCCCGAGTGGTACATCCTTGAATTAATACAATACATATCAAAAATTTTGATTCAAACAAAGTTCTTTCGGGGCATCCCGCCAGGAAAGCACAAGGGCGGCGTTTTTCGTAAAATTGCTAAACGAAAGCGCAACGTCGGGCAAGGCCACCGTACGAAACATCCGTCTGCATGGAGCGCAAAACAGACAGGGATGGCCATCCACAAGATAGCGCTCCGTCATCGTGCCCAGGCAACAACACTTTCTACTTGCAAAAACTTCACATGCATCCTCTCCACGAAATTCATTACTAAATTATCACTATCATTATTAATTATAATTATTACAAATTGTTTACTTTCACTAGATAAACTCGAGTGGACCCGCCGTGGCCGCAGGCCCTGGCCACGCGACCACCACCACCTCGACGGCACACATTTAAAAAAAATTATTGTCACAATTTATTTTTCTTTTGAGAAAAGTAAAACATAAAACAAACATGGCGGGTGCTGGTGGCGGCCGGTGGCCGGGGCGTCACACAGTTCCAGTACAGGGACCACACTTCTACTTGGTTCGTAATTTATTTTTGTTCGTAATTTTTGGACCACTTCTTTACAGCGCTGGGGCCCCGCTTTCGTTTGCGACGATCACAGCACGGCCCATCCAGGAGACTAGTTGTACACGGTTTCTCTGCCGGCCCTGCAACACAAACAACACGGCGTGGTCAGCAACAACATCGACATAAAAAAACAACAAACGGCGACAACAAAAACAAGAGCGACATGACGACTGTGTTCCACGCGGCTTGCCCTCCCAATAAATTTCCCGCGTAATCCTCATGCATGCCGGCAATGCCCCGGCAAGAGCGCGCTCGCTCCGGCGGACTCCGGTCGGTCCGGCCGTCATTGTCATGCAAATGCCATAACGCATATCGTCGCCGAGGCAACCGGACCGGGGGCCGCTGGGTAGGCGGCGTACCCCGGCAGGGGGCGGGGGAAAATAGACCGAAGCCACGAGAGCTAAAGCCCTTTTGTTGGATCGTGCGCGTTAGTTTACGATTCATTTTTCAGGCAGGAAGTTTGGATAGAGGAGTGGCGTCTCAGCGGAAATAAAAACGGTTAAAAAGTAGAGGCGGCTCGTGCCCCATTGGCGCGGTAGCCTCAGAACGGCCTCTATGAATGGGGCACTGTCTAACTTCCACGGGTTTCGGCAAGAGGACTGTTTGGTGCCGTTGGGTTGGTGCTGCCCTGGTGCTGCCGCGCCAACCTAACCTCACTTCGGCACTCTTCCCGCCAGGCGCGAGTTGGACCGGAAATAACAGCAAGAAAAAAAGCAGCATCTTGCCGGGGCGGAGCGTATCAGTAATTAAGGAATATGAGCCCCGGCCTCTCTGCCAGACGGCCACCAACAACAATGCCATATTGTGCCGCCATTGTGGCCGCAAGCCACAATCGTCTTTCAACAATAACGTATCGTATCGACCGGCGGCACGTGTACAACAATGGCCCGGCCGACCTTTCTGCTAGGGTACACACACTCGCGGCCGGAGCGGCGGCACCCACCTCTCCCTCCCCCTTTCCCGAGAAAGTGGTCCAACCTAACCTTGCCTCGCACTGGCCGGGCCGCCAAGACGCCAAAACACAGCCGTTTCTGTCCGGGTGTCTCTGCAACCCCGCCGGAGCGGAAGAACGCTCGGCCCTCTATGAGTCACGTGGCTCATCCGCAGCGTCAGTCTCTCATGGCAACCGTCGTGGGAACTCTAGTCAAACGGGGCAAATCGGTGAACGCTGCGCCACGGCGCTAGCGTCGCCAACGCGCGTTCAAGTCTCCGAGGAAACGGGGGCGTCGCGTTTTCGAGTGGAGTGGATCGATAGATCGATAAGGCGAGGCGGCGATTCCGAGGCGGGGTGGGGCATGCCGCTTCCGCTTCTTCCCAGCCAATCAGCGGACGGCCTGCCTAGCGCTGCCGCGGCCTGATTGATCGAGAGGGAAGGCGGCCCGGCCCGGCCGGCACCTGCAAACTCATTCCGAGCAGGCGGTTCGTCGGCCGCCGCAGTCACACGGGTGCGAGAGAGACAGAGAGTCCGGGCGACGAAAACACTCTGCCTAATCGGTCGCCTGTCGCCCCGCCGCCGCCGGGTCCGACACCAAAAACAATGACACGGCGTGGGCACAGCCACCTGACTCCGCGAACAGCGGCGCGCCGCCTCTCTCGCACTCTGACAGCGCGCTCCGGCAGTGCGACAGAGACAAGTTCTTTGATGCTGCAAACGAGCGCCCTGTCGATGAGGCGGACTGCTTTGAGGTGCTGTAGCGCCTGCGAGGTAGGCCAGCGACCCGCCGCGCAACACATCGGCGTGGAGACGGTGGCCTACGGTGCCCCTGAAGACGACAGGCGCGAGGTAGGCCACCGTCTCCACACCGGTGTGTTGCGCGGCGGGTCGTTGGCCTACCTCGCAGGCGCTCGACACTGGTGTGGTCCACGTTGTGGCTACGGTCATGGTCAGAGTCGGGGAAATGGCTTAGTATCAGGCCGCAGACCGCCAAATATGACGTCAGAACCAATTCAAAATTAGCGAATTCAGTCAAATTTAGTCCATTTTGACGTCCTCGGTGCGCATCGAGTGCAGGCCCCCGTGTGTGGTTGGCGCTGCTGCTGGTCGGTGGGAGGTGGGGGAGGGGAGGGCGGTGGGAAGGGCGTCATCTTCTCACGCCCGCTCCTCGCAAGGCTCGGCGCAAGGCTCGGCGCCCCGCTACCGGGAAGGCAGGCCGCGTTGCCGCGTCGCCGGGTTGCCATGGTTACGGCCGGTCCGCAATTAGCGATAAGGTCAGGCCGTGATTAGGCGGGGGCGGGCCGGTCTCTCTCGCACTCGCGGGGCGTCCGGCGTGGGCGCGAGAGAGACAGGGCGACGCAGCGCGGCGGTAGTGGCGGTCCGCGACGACGCCACCGTCGGGGCGATTCGACGTGTACGTCGCGACACGACGCCAGGCCCTGGTGGCGGTGACACGGCGCCGCCAGCACGGCGTCGTGACCGGGCCGCGCCGTGGCCGCCATGATACGCCGTGTCTTCATCAAGCCACTCTGTTTGTGACGACGGCGACCATCACGACGAACGCGCCCAACTTGGCGCGCGGCCACGCCTGCCAGGGCCGCCAGGGCCGCCAACAGAATGCAGCGCCAAAAATTAAAAAATTAAAACACGGCGAGCAGACAGCCCAACAGCGAAGGCATGACTGCCTCTCCGTCGCACTCGCAGCACCGGAGCGGCAAACGAGACCAGAGTGCCCCGGGATGAGAATTTTTACTGCCGCTAATTTTCCCGTCTGCGACGTCGACGACGGCGGCGGCGGCAGCGGCGGCCTGGGTGGTGGAGGCTGGGCCGGGCGGCTGACCGGAAGGGGAGAGGCGGAGGTAGGGCGGGCAGTGCGTGGCGTGGCGCGGCGTGGCGCGGCGTGGCGCGGCACCGTAGCGCCATTCGACTTCCGTTCGTCAAATACCTGCTGCCCATAGTGGCGCGGCGAGCCCTGCCAGCACCGCGGCTCCGCGGCTGCGCGGCACTGTCGTCTGCTTTCACCTGCAGGCCTTTAAGTGGTCGGAACAGCGCGACCCGACCCGCCATGGCGCGCCACCGGGAGATTCGAAGAAAGGTTCCCCCGGCTAACCCACTTACGAGCAGCCCGCCCGCCGCGCCCCGCGGTCACCGCGCGCGCCGGGTGATGACTTTATGGGACTCCACTTGGCGACGTTTTTGTTGGGACTGTATGCGCGAGAGCGAAGCGGAAAACCGCGGAGCTAGCCGTGAACTCCATGTCGCGGGTCTATCTCCATGCGGGCAGACCCGCGCTCGGCCGCGCAGCTCGTGTTGTTGTTGCTGCTGTCTTTGTTGTTGTGTTTATGTTGTCTCGGGCGGCCCGCCTTCCGGCCGTGGCGCGCGGCGCGCAGTGGGCCGAGTTGACACTGACCTACAAAGGGAAAGGGAGGGGAAGGGTGACGGTAGCGGACTCGCCTGCCTGCCCGTCTGTCTTGTGTGTCTGTCCGTTCGAGCGAGGTACGTGATGTCCACGTGGAGAGCGCGGCCAAAAACATTCCTTGTCGTCCTCAGGACGACGCCCCGCCCCGCCCCGCGGGCATCCACTGCGAAGGAAAGGAAGAGGGTGGGGCCGCGCCTTGTCTTTTTCTTTTTCCGCCGCTGCATTTTTGCTGCCGCCACACTGGGCAAGCTCGGCAAGCTCGGCCAGCTTGCATGATGAGCCACGCTAATGACTCGACGGCATGACGGCCACGTCGCCTTGCCTTGCTCTGCTTTGCGGCAGGTCGCCGCCTCTCCACTTTTAGGAGGGTCACCTGCTGGGTCGGTCCGCACAGTGCTCTGTCTCTCTCGCGCGCACGCAAGGCAAGGCGGTGGCGATACCCGCGAGTCGCCCTGATTGGAGAGCCAGAGCCGCTTGCGTTGCGCATTGAACGTTGCACCTGTCCTGCCTCGTTGCCAACGTGTTCTGCAGCAGTTTGGCGCCGCGTGCCGCGTGCCGCGCACCGGGTGACCGCGGGACGGCACGCCACTGGGAGGCCTTCGCGTCGACGGCTCGCAGACCAAGAAGGCAGCAAGGCGGCTCGGCTTAGCCGTCGCTATCGCCGCGTTATACTGCCCAGCCAACGGGCCGATTCCGAACACGGCGCCTTCGTCGCGCCGTCTCTCTCGCACTCGCGAGGCATCCCGTGGGGGTGCGAGAGAGACAGAGCGACGAAGGCCAGCCCGCTATAAAGCGCAATGGCAACGGCTGCTCGATGACCTGAACCAATTAAAAAGGAGTTTGAGCTGGCAGGGTAGACGACAACGAGGCTTGCATGCGCGCGGCGCGCACGGGCTGGAGGCGGGGTGAAGGTCTAGGGGGGGGGCGGGGCGGGGCGGGCGGGCGGGGCGGGGCGGGGCGGGGCGGGGCGGGGCGGGGCGGGGGGGGGGGGGGGGGCGGGGCCGAAGAACGGGCCCCCAGGGCGTGGTCGCGTAAGCCGAAGGACCTCGCGCCTGCCCAGCCTGGCGTTCACTGCACCTGCAACAGCTATGCGGCCGCGCCACACGCGTGTGTGCACGTACAGACACTCATACACCCAGTCACTCACTCAGACACGCGCACAACGCACACGCCAGAGGTCACAGTGAGTGTCGCCGCTTTTTCATACCGGCCGACGTGAGTGCATGTGCAGTGCAGTGGCCGCGGCGTTGCCGAATGCGCCCGCGACGCCGTCACGCTGTGCGCCTCGCTGTGCGCCGCGCGCAAGGCGGCGTTCTAAACCTAAAACCAGCCGCGGTCGTTAAGACCGCCGCCTGAAAAGTCTTGGATTTACGGCGACGTGCCGAGCGCCGCCAGCACGCGCGCCACGCCACGCCACAGCCGGAAGAAGATGACTACGGCCGGCAGAGTGACTCGTCACAAAAAAAATTGCCGTGTCGCCCGGCCGGCCGGCGGGCGTGTGTCGCCTCGCGTGATGCGCGCACGTGCGTGCGAGTGTGTGCCTGTGTGCGTGCGTGGTTACGTGTAAATGAAGCCAACACATTTTCGCGAGCTTTCTCATACCGTTATTGCCCGGTTACGTGGGGCCCGTGGGGCCCGTGGGGCGGACGCACACAGACACAGGCAGAGGGCGCCGCGAAGGGTGGGAAGGCAACGCTAGGGCAGCGGTTCTCAACCTTTCTCGGCTC